TATTGTACGGTCCCAGCCACGACATGAGGAACAATGATCTGTAAATGTGCTCTCTGACTGCAGACATTTTAAGCACATTCTTAGTTGACATTGATTAAGGGTGCTTTATAAACCTGAAAATGAATCATGAAATGAAATTCACCCCTCATTAATTTTATTAGTATTTTTACATGCTCTCTTACCTGCTAAAGGCCCTGGAAGTATATAGCCTGTTCTGACCTTTTGACCCATAACCTGCACATCCTGTCCATTTCACATGATCTAGTAAGGGTGGCGAGGGGTCAGCGAGTCACTGGAAACACACAGAGCATTTGCCATGCTACAATGTTATAGAAATTCTGAGTCTCACTTCCAAATCCAAACGACTCATTGCATTGGTTGAATTCTCACAGTGAGTAAAAATAAGATTGATATTGAACTTCTGTATTTTTATAATGTAATGCAGAAAATCATGCAAAAAAGAAGTGAGTAAATTCTTCCACAGTTACTGTACGTGAGGAGATGCATGACTGCACGTTGATGATGAAGACAATCAAGGATTCTGAAAATGTCATTGCATTATTTAATGAGATACTGTCAGAAGGAAACAAACATCACTGAATGTCATGATGTCCAGGTGTAATGAGAAGCACAACATGTAGGGACATGGAGGGCACACTCAACAGGAATGCAGGAGGGGCCTGCAAGGTCAACACAGACTGGGACAAATGGGACAAACATGCCCGAGTGTCTGAATAAAGATTTTTTTTTAAAAAACAGTCTGTCAACAGTTAGATCGACATGCAGAAGTGAAGAAGGATAATTATTCAAACTCAATAGAGAAAAACCAATAGGACCCAAACCAGTGTTATTCTTGCAGTAAGGCAAAGACGTTGCTACAGCACTGTTATTCCACCATGAAGCCCTACATACACTTACTTGGTTTTATATACAGCATGTTAAAGCATTTGTCTTTAACACACAGCAGTAATGAGTTGACTGAGGCAGACCCTCAGTCAAGCAGATCACTGGAAAATAAACTCCACATTTTTCCTCATGGGCTCAGACGGTTGGTGAAATATTCTGAAGCCTGGCTGCTGGAGGTGTTGTCAAACTTTCAGTCCCTTCTCTGCCAAGTTTGCTGCCAGCCTCAAACACTTGCTCTCACTGAAAACATGGCAAACGGACTTTTCCAGCTGGAAACTTTAATTTGTAAATAACTCCCTTTCCAACATTCCTTCATTTATCTTAAGCCACTTTATCCATGAGAGCTTGAGTCCACCCTGACTTGGGGTAGAGAGCTGGGTTTACCCTGAACAGGCCACCCATCCATCAGAGCAGAACACACAAAAAAAGAAAAGAAAAGAAAAAAAATCACATTTTTAGTAAATGTAGAAGCTTTGAACTGTGGGAAAATCATACACATAGGAAGAACATGTAAACTCCACACAGATTAGAAATCATCTGAGTCCAGGATTCTGCCCAGAGACTACAGCTGGATAGATAGATAGATGGATGGATAGATATGTATATTTAAGCAGAACTAGTGTAATTATCAGGATGTTATGTTAACAAGGGTGTATAAATAGTTTAAATAAATGAACAGTCTAAATAGTAATTTTACAAACTTTGATTAACCAAACTGCCATAGTGTTGTATGTGCTCTGTTTTGCTTCAGAACTTTCGACCATCGTCATTCTCACTGAAACAACCTCTTCGACAATAGCTCTCTCGCCCTGTAGCTTTAACGATGGGATATTGAAACTTTTGCCTGGAAACGTGGCCTGAAACGACGTGAAGTCAGCAACTAATTTTTTTACAGTGTATTTAAGCGGTGTCTGCACATTCACAGGGAAACCACGGAGGTTTGCCACGAGTTTACTCAGTATTTAATGAGGCACAAAGAGACAAAGTGCTAAATCAACGATGAATGGTTGCGACTGGCTGCAAACGCAGTGCATCTCCGCAGAGAAGTAAATCAGGGGGAAAATCTCAAATTAAAAAAGCACAAATCTCCAGCGTTTGAAACTTTTCCGAAAAGTGCGTGCGCTGCTGCTGCTGCTGCTGCTGCTGTGAGCACAGAGCAGAAACTCCTCTGAATGAAAAGCATTCTTCATTCCGTGCGGATGACCAATAACTTTCTCACTTTGTGGTGGGCGCGTCTACAGAGCCTCGCACACTCACATCAGCCGCAAACGCAGTTTAGTTTGGATGGACGCAGGGGAAAGACAGCAACATTACTGCTGCTGCTGTGGGCACAGAGAGAAGACGTTCTTAGAAAAAAAACAAGTGGGGAAAAACAGATCAGGCCAAACGAGACGGAGCTAACGAGCTAAGTTAGCCCCTGGTCTGCACTCATACAGAGATTTAAAGTAGGGCGCAGCATTTTTTCCAAAGGTAAGTCTCCTACAGAGACCTTTAATGTGCTTGTACTATTAGCGTGTATGTTGCACTGATTGAACGGTGGGTTATTCTTACTGATAAATGTGGGGATTTCTTTGTACTTTTTACAAAATGTTGCCATAATGTCTTACAAAAAGGACTGTTTTTGTAAGACATTATTCGTTATTTGGGATTACAGTTCACATGTTAGTCCTCTCAACTGATAAAACGATTTTAACAAGATTAACCTTATTTACTTTTGAACAATACTATTTGCAAGTTGTGTTTATAGCAATTTTTGTTTTATTTTCCAGTCAGCATTTGTCAGTTGCACTCATACTTTATTTTATTCTACAACTGATAATGACTCTGAGTGATAACATATTGGACAATACATAATTAAGGATGGAGAGAATCTATAAAATGTTATTTTGCTGACTAAAATTTGAATCCCATCTTTAAATGAGATATAAGGCGTACAAGACACAAATTGCTGAAAGGTGAAAAGTTTTTTTAAAATCACAGAGACAAAATGTATCCTAAAGGTCCACTCTTGTGTCACGAACCACTATTTGAGCCACACTCAGCTAGCCATAGGGTAGCACCTAGATGTATGCCTATTATCTTTTTACTGCAGAAAAATAAAATAGTAGAAAATATTTGTACACTGCTCTAGATTTGAAGCCAATGTTGTAGATGTGTTTACAAAGAAACCTCTGTTATTTATTTTTTTACATTTTACAGCCTTGACAGATTAGTTATGTGTTATTAGTCATCAGAACAAGTTAACACTGTGTGTCCAAGTGCAGGATTAATTGCATAACAAAGGGGCATGAATCATATGTTGAGGTCAGTTTTGATGTTGCTTGTGGGACATGTCTCTGTCCACATTTTTTTCTGATTCAGATGGATGTTGACACTCTGTTCTAGGGCTTTTCTCAGGACACACCCAGTCCAAACCTCAACAGCTGAATGATTGGAAAGAGGGGCGGCACCGGCAACTGGATCCTTTTTGTACGTAATCGTAGACTGTGATGTAAATGCTGACTATGTTTTTTAACATTCCCTGTCTACTTTTGACCATTCTAGAATAAATCAGTTTTTCCTTTTCAAAGCCTTAGCACAGTCTCACAGTATTGTAAAAAATGGTAGAGTCCAGTGAGGACTATGGAAACTACACCTATGAGTATGACGTGGAGTATGGAGACTTTGAAGACCTCAAGTCAGAGCAGAGCCAGAAAGAAACTATGCACATTATCTCCGTTTTCATCTACATTGTTTCATTTGTGCTTGGACTGATTGGAAACGGGATTGTTATCTGGGTGACAGCGTTTAAAAGCAAAAAGACTGTGAACAGTGTGTGGCTGCTCAATCTCGCACTAGCAGACTTTGTGTTTGTGCTTTTCCTGCCCTTCTACATTGATTACATACTGCGGGACTTCCACTGGGACTTTGGCATGGCCATGTGCAAAATTAACTCCTTTGTGTCTGTGATGAACATGTACGCCAGTGTGCTCTTCCTCACCGTGCTCAGCATAGACAGGTATGTGTCCCTAGTTCACCTCAACTGGTCTCGGCAGCACCGCACCATAGCGAGAGCCTGGCTTACCTGCGGCTGCATTTGGGTCATAGCTGCTGCTCTCAGCTGCCCTGCTCTTATTTACCGCGAAATCCTGCACTTCCACGATAAAGTGTTATGCTTCAATAACTTCCATGCACATGATGCACAAACGGCAGCCACGAGACACATAATAATTGTGGCAATCCGCACCACGGTGGGTTTTCTTCTGCCGTTTACTGCCATATGTGTGACAGGTATACTCTTGACCATCAAAGTGAATCAATCTGGGGGCATGGTACGCATGTCCAGCTTCTCCAAAACTGTCACTGCAGTTATTCTGGCCTTCTTTTTGTGCTGGACGCCTTTCCATGCCTTTAGCCTAATGGAGTTGTCCATACATTCCTCGTTGTACCTTCACAACATTTTGAGAGCTGGTTTTCCTCTTGCAACCAGTTTAGGTTTTTTCAACAGTTGCATTAACCCCCTGCTGTATATGCTCCTGGGGAAAAAGGTCCGTCACATCCTGAAGCGTGCATGCCTGGACATTACTAAGAGTTCACTCAGAGAGCTCAGCCAATCTGTCTCTGCCACAGAAATGGAATCTGTTCCAGGACTCCATCAGGATACTGTCCCAGAGGAGCCAGTGGAGTCATCAGCTCTATGAGTTTAATCGTCTTCAGACGCCCGTACTTATCCATGAAAAACATTAGAATGGCTGATTTTTACCGAAGTGTAAATGGAGTGGATTATCTTGCGTGTTTTTTTCCAGCTGTAATGTTCAAATTTTCCTATTTTCTTCCACTGGGATGGTGTTACGCCTGCTGCAGCTCACAACTACTCCTGGAATGGATGGAAAAGCTGCAAAAGGAGTGCACAAGAAGTCAATATCATCCTCTTATTTCACACAGATGATCCAAAGCAACGAGGGCAAAATCCAATTATTGCTGAGATAATTGATTATTAGCCAAAATGAGGGCTATGGTCCAAAGACGGTGTCTTACTGACAGATATTTACTGCTTTATTTTGTCTTTAATTATATTTATCTCAGTATCTCTTGTCTTAGTCAGTTGGTCATAAAGAAGCATCTGTAGATTTGGGACAATTTGTTTGTGCATTTTCTAAATATTAATTTTGAATGAACTGTTTTGAACCAGAGCACTTGTAAAACAATGATTGTTCTAAAGAATCAGACATGATTGTTTTTTTCTGTTTGTTTAATGATTATAAAGACATGTAGTAATATATTTAATATATATAATGTTTATGTTTAGGGACTTTTTAGGGAGATTTTATATAACATATATTTATATGTAATCCTAATATATTGCTAGTGTCTTAGCACCATTACTTTCTGAGTCTTATTACTGTCAAATATTTTCTGACTCTTCTGTATTGTGTTGTAAAAATTGCTACACAGTCTGGTTATAATTTTGAACCAAGGGCATTTGCTCAACATTTTCCAAAAATAAGAAAATAACATAACATATGCAGATTTTGATTTTGTTTAGTTTAATAAATTAATGATTTTATTGTTTAGTTAGTTTTTTATATTATTGTATATTTCTAATTTATAATTAAAGTAAATGGAACATATCTCATTAAAATTGTATGTTTTTCGCATTGTTTGACTTGGCTGTGTTGTGTGTCGCACACATGCTAACCATATGAAAGGGTATTTATTTATTAGTGGGAGACACACACACACACACACACCCTGAGATAAGTCCATATGTTTTTCCATCCATTTCCTGGCAGATTGTTTACACACCCAGGCATGTCCTGTTTTTCTCTTGTAAGACTTGTGTGAATTACCTCACTGATCAGATACAGACAGAGCAACATCCTGTTGTTGTCTCTTAGGCCAGTGTAGGAGTAAAAACAGAACAAAGTAGTTTTTTTTACTTCTGTGTTAACCTATAGTATAGTTTATGGTGTGGGAGATAGATAGATAGATAGATAGATAGATAGATAGATAGATAGATAGATAGATAGATAGATAGGGGTCTGTTTAATAAGAGGATTTACAATCTCTGACATAGTTTTTGGTAGCAATAGCTCTGAATGTTTTGTCATGGGGATGGGGGCTGACAATAGTTCTGTCTCTAAGCGGGCACTGCAGAGTATGTTAGGGAACCGCTAAGGTAATAAAAACCAGAAATAGCATTTCCAGGTGTGTGTGTTTATGAAAGTATCTGTTAAATACTTCATTTCCCTTACTACAAATGGAAAAATATTCATTTGTGGGACAACCCACCAGAGTTACGCAATAATATTGCTAAAATGATTGAAGGAAACAATTTCCATTTACAAAGAATACAGCAACAGAAAAAACAAAAATAAAAACACAATTTCATTGGAATACCTAATTCAAACATGACATTATACACAGACAACTTTCTAAATATGTAAAATGTGCTAGTCATAATTTTTCTGGAAAATACGTGTATAAAAATCCAAATATGATTTTATACTGTGGTACTGAATATTTTCCTAGTACTCTTTGAATACTAGCACTATTATGGGCTGAATTAAATCCCTCTATTTGGATTTTTAAAATAACACTGATGCATAACTGTATAGTCTTATATATAACAAAAAAAATGTTTAAAGTAGAAATGAAGGAATTTAGGCATAATCGCATGTTTTTTCCCATCAGCGTGACGCAGCATAAACATTACAGTACGCAGTCTCAGTGATTGTCTGGAGAACAGAAAAACCACTAACGACTACTTTTATCAGAACTCGGAGAAACCAAGCCCTCAGCTGTTCTTACAGGGATTGTTACGTACAGAATTTTTTTAACCCGTGACGCAGCAGAATAACTGTGCGCAATGTGCGTGACTGCGGCCAGTCTCACCAGGACAGACATCAGTAAACCACGTAAGTGAGAAACCCAACACCTTCGTTCTATTACTGTGTAAATATGAGGTAATGTTCCGTCTGCACATCACCTACACAGAGTTAGACCCTGTTGGAGACTTAACTGTAAGAAAAACGGTCGCTTTGTTCGTTCGTTTAAAGAATGCACGGCTAGTATCGGGGCATAGCTTACAATTTAAAGTGTCGGTAATACAGCTAATGAGCTAATGTTAACGTAAAAGAGTTAGGTTTAAATATAAATTCAAATAACATCGCTATTATCCAGGGGTATATATCCTAACTTTTAAGATAGAACCCTTCTGTTAACTCTTAAATCACATCTGTAACCTCAACGGTGGCTGGAGGGGGTGTGGCGCACAGCAAGTCAAATAAATTCCGATTTCATTATTTCTTTAATTGTGGCATAATAAAGAATTTGTACCAGCCCTTATTTTATGTTTTGTTTTGTTTGACAAGAGTGGTAGAGTTGTAGGAATAATAGTGTTTTTAATAAAAGTCCAGTGGAGATTTAAAGCAATCACTGTCAATCTGTTGACATGGGAGGGCGCAGGTTTGTCTCGGGAATAGTCACATCCACAAAGGGGGAACCTCAGAAAACGTTTGTTAGATAGTTTGTTTAAAAAAACGCACAACGCCTGTGCTGACAGCTACATTGTCCAACAAACGACATCATATTGTGATGAATGTTGGTCAAGGGGTAAGGGATTTAATTTAAACACTGTGTTCTTGGCTTAGCAAACCTACATTCATCTGTGGTGTTGGCATCACACATTTGCTTCCATTCTCACAGGTTTGCTTAATGAATGACTCATGAGGAAGGAGCTTGCTCAGCTAAAGGAAAAAAATGACTCTGGGCAGTTGCTTTCCACAAACAGTGAGGATGTGCTGACGACACTTTCTGTAACAGTAAGTAATTAATGGTGGAACTTCACTCTGTCACACTGTACAATATTCTGCAGCTTGAGGTAACAACCGTGGCAATTTTAGACATGCTGTTGTGCAGGTGCAAAAGGGTATGTATTTAGTTTGAAATGTTGTAGATAACATTGTCAAATTTTCTGTTAAAACTCAAATATTTATAATTTGTTAGGGATGGAGACAAAAATAATTTTGAGACAGTTTGGGGGCCAATGTTCATTGAGCCTAATTATCCTCTTTGGTCCAGTATCCTAGCAAAAGTAGATAAATATAAAGCTTAGATGTCTGGAATGTAGGGGGAAATTAAAACTAGGACCAGGGAGTCTGAAAAACAGGAAATGTACTCTTGGTCTGATGACTTCAATTTGAGGTTGACGTTTGGTTCTGGGTAACCCTTATAAGAAATGTAATAAAATAAATTACAGCTAAACATTGAGGGTTTTTTTTGTTTGTTTGTTTGTTTGTTTGTTTGACAGTATTTTAAATCTGACCTATGTTCATGGATACATTCAATGGCCACATCAATGGATACGTAAATTCTAAAATTGCTGGAATAAAAAGTATGACCTACTGTGTTCTCTGCATGCTGTGGATATTTAGAGGTTATAGCCAGCATATTGTCTATGTGAAGTGCTGCACTTTTATCCTTTTGCTTGTGACTTTGGGGCTAAGAAGAGGTAACTGGAATTGAACCTGGTAAATGCCGTAAGTGTACACTATCAGAAAAAAAACCACCCAAACTACCAGTCGTACTAGGAGCTGATGGGGCTGCATTACTCGCCAAGACCTCCCCAAGGATGGTTTCATAATTTATCAAGGTCAGCTGTCTTTCTGCAGAGCAGCAGAAAGCTTCCTTCACTTAACACCTCATTTACATATATTTATGTATGGCTTCCCAAAGAGACAGTATCAGTCCTGACAGCACAAAATACACTCCAAAGATAAGGTGACAAAAAAACATGAAGAAAGGAGTAAAGACGGTATATGCAGAGGGTTCCACACAGTGGGCAATGTATGTAAGTGCACAAAAACCCACTCTATTGCTTTAATGGCTATTTTCAAAAGAACATCCCAATGTCATTACTAAATAAGGTCATTTAGAGGAAGTAAAAGGCTTGATTTTTTAAATTTATTTCAACACATATTAAGGTTTAAGGCCACTTTACATCTTTGATCATACTTAATGTCAACACACTGGCATATACTGAGAAATGTAGCGCCTACATCAACACTGGGGTCCTTTCACAGCAGGCCAGGAACAAAGTGACTCCATCAGAGAGAGTTTTCGTTAGCAGGCCAGATAACTATATTTTCTATACAGCATGTGTCCATGGAGATTACAACGAACAACTTAGGCCCTGTCCACTAGATAATACGTTCAGAATTTATAACACATATTAGACACATTCAACATTTACCAACTCTAGGTCATCACAGTTAGCTGTATTTCCCTCAATGGCTATTTTAATTAAAGTATTTTTGCTTGAATGAACCTTTATAATATCAAATTAGCCGATTTTGATGTGTGATCTTTGCCCACAGGTCCAAACAAAGAGATCCAGAAAATGGAATGTAAAACCTGTTTATCATAAACTGTTGACATGACACCCAAACTTGTATATACTAAATGGATTTTTTTTTACAGACTTAACAAAAGTGTTGAAATGTGTTGATTGTAAATGAGAACTTGAAATAATATCTGAAAAAATGTCTAGATATTATTAAGATTATTATTAAGATTTAGATATGCTAAAAAAGTAAGGTTAGTATGTATTAAACCCTACAAAAAATTTGAACTATTTAGAAAAGTATATATAAATTCTATTTTGATATGATAAATTTGTCTATGTGTGTGCACAATTTTGATTTTTTTTAAATTTGTATTTTTGAGTGTGGAGCTCCAGTATGTGATTGACACGTGATCCATCATCAGTGAAGAGCGGCTACAGTGTGGCAGCAGAGCTGATAAGTCATCCATATGGAGGATGATAGCCGTGGTCCAGGTGGAGTTTATACTGCAACACTTCATTGGACCTTCCTGATTAAATCTCTAACTCTGCTTTTCTACAAATGTGTAATCCACAAAGACACGCCAACTCTATTTCTTTGCAATGATTCGAATAAAGTGACATGTACACCATTTGAAGCTTTTTTAAAACAAACTTGAATTTCCAATATGGTAGGAGAGGTTGTTGTTGTTGAGCGGGTTGTTGTCATGTCCCCGCAGTGCCTGTAGTGGTGCTGTGAGGAGTCTGCTGTGGATCCAACTAAAATCCTCAGCACTCTGCTTACGCCTTGTAATTTGCTCAGGATAGCCCAATATTCTACATGCATTCTTTATTTCAGCACAGACTAAGCCCGACGAAGACAGCTGTTACGAACCTATCTCGAATATCGATGCACAAATAGCCTAGCTGATTGTAATAGACATTTCGGCCGTCTGTCTGGAGCGAATACCTAACCCAGCTCATACCAATTCAAGGTAAGCGAGATCGCAAATAGCCTCGTCCTAGATTTTGTGCGTACCGATTTACAGACAGCTTCGGCTGGCACTGTCTTTTACCAGAGGGCGCTGTGCTGTCGAAGCTAGGAGGCCTTCATTTGTAATCGATGCATTTTGAAAACTTGTGATCAAAGTGAATGAGTCAATGTCATAAAATCATGTGGAATGTCTTAACGTTGATGATTTTGAGTGGTTTTGCCTCACAATGTCACAGTATACGACTAATTTATATCGATTATTGCAAAGGCCTTCAATAACAGGCTTAGAGCCCGAAGTATAGCCTTTGTTACATCGTAATTATCGTCGCTGTAATATACTTGCGTCGTTTAAAAACACAGTACTGTTTTTAACTATATAATCGAAATATATGGTTAGTATGGGTTTATTTGTAACAGGAGCTAATGTTAAAATATACCTTTACGGTATCACATTTCCTCATGTTTCCGTTTCCTGGTTAGCTACCGCCTACTAGTGTATGTTTTTAGCTTTTGTAGCGCTTGAGCTAACGTGAACTATTTGGCTTTTGGTGTATTTTTAATGTGAAAACGCCCGACTTCAAGTTCAGAATGTTGTATGTTTTTGAACGAAGCAGACGCACGTCTAACAGGTAGACATTTAAAAAACGCATACACGGAAAGCTTTATTATCTATATTGGCTCTAAGCTAAGGCTAACGACCTAGCTCCCGATACGTAAATCGTAGTAACGCTAGCGGGTGTTTGTCACAGTTTAATAAATACCCGGTCTATGTGTCTAACAAAACATGTTATTTAGATATGACTTTGAAAAAGTGGACATAAAATAAAATTTATATAGAGCTATACCGCTCTCAACTGTGTTACACTCGGCATAAAACACACAAAGTTGATGTTCAAAAGATATGATTGTATACGATTTTGTGTTTTACAAGTAGTGGTATGAATGCGTTAATACTGTGTTATAAGGCTTATATTTCATGAATTCATTGAATTATTTTTAAACAGAACCACGTAAGTGTTAGCTCCTTTTCAAAGGTACCGTATGCATTTGTTTAAAGCATAATAAATATAAATCATCAAATTGTTAGCCAATATTTGTGAATCATGTTGTCCTCTGCCTCAATATTTCGTTTTTGTCTTTCTTTTGCAAGTAATTGGAATGCATAGAAAGAGAAACATACCAAATACTATTAATCAAGCTAAATGGCTGAATAGTAACTAAATAAACCTTCTGTTTAAACCTAAACAAACAAGAGATCAGTAGACGTTTTCTCAGTTTTAAACTGCTTGGTCAGACGCCAGACCCATTACTTATAACACTGGGTCCCCAAAGCTAAATGTATTTGTTGTTCCTGAGAAATAAACAGTAAGTATACAATTCCAATTTTAACAGTTGCGTTCATCCTGCATGTTCATCCTGTAAATGATGTGTAAACCTTAGTGAGAGGCTTGTTTACCATCTATATAAAAACAGCATTTCTATTGGCAGCATGTTGTTATTTCTTTCTGCTCCACTTAAAATAGAAAGTCTTTAATGCCACTACATTTGACTTCAAACCAAGCATACTTGTACAAGTAGGTTTTTTTTTTTTTCTTTAGCAGGGATGGTGCAAAGTGTTTTCAATTAATCATGCTTTGTTTAAAAACAGTTGCATCAGTTTTTAGTTTCAGTGTGTAATTAGTGTTTTCCCTGACTTGTTTCCCATCAGCTGATGTTGTCAAGGACAAGAGTCACGTGATGTATGAAGGCAAACACATACACTTCTCAGAGGTAGACAATAAGCCGTTGTGCTCATACAGCCCAAAGCTCTGCAAACAGCGCAGACTTAATGGCTACGCTTTCTGTATACGGCACGTTCTGGAGGACAAGACAGCCCCCTTCAAACAATGTGAATATGTGGCGAAGTACAACAGCCAGCGATGTACCAATCCCATCCCGAAGTCTGAGGACCGCAGGTTTGTGTGATGGTTTGGCAAAAACCAATATGCAAAGCAGAATATTTGTTATATTGTCCTCAAGATATGTTTTTATTTGTAGGTACTGTAACAGCCACCTCCAGGTTCTTGGATTTATACCCAAGAAGGAGCGGAAAAAGAAACACGATGCTTTGGAGGAACTGCGCCCACGGGCTCACTTGGAGTCAGTTGCACTCAACATAACTGTACCCTCTCTAGCTCTAAAAGCTCCCAATGGTCTTGATGAACTTCCACCATCTCCTCCCTGTTCACGTCTGTTACCCCTCCCAGACGGGGAACTCTTGGACCCCTTCGCTTTTTATGAAGAAGACACAGATGGGGAGGAGGTGGGTACTCCTCGAAAGAGCAACGCTGTCAAGAAGAAAATACAAAGTCGACTCGGGGTCAACCAGAAACTCTGCCACAACACAGACTTCTTCCAGTCGCCTCCTGAGCACTTTAGCCCCTCCCCAGTCCCCAGTGTTCACCCTTCTGCGCCGCTCAACACTCATCTACTACGGCAACAGTCAGGTCTCCTCCAACCTCCCCAGCACTCCAATGTGACTTCCTTCACCTTCCCAGGACAGCAGCAGGGTTTATTATGCAATCCTCCACCACCTCAGACCGTCAACTTTCTGCCTCCAGGGATGTCGGCTAACGCAGCACCCTGTTTAGTGCAACCCTCTGCACCATCACTAAGCAGGAAAATGCCTTTAACTGCTCAACACTTGCCTCTCAATTGCAAAGACGGTAATAATCAGCGGCAAGTGGTTGTCATGCGTCCCACAACCTTTGCATCTTCTGCCAGCTGTTTAGCTAAGTTGCAACATCTGGTGCAACTCTGTGCCAAGAGACGCCAGGAATATGGAGACCTGTTTCCACATCTTGGTAAATAACTTAATGAATTTACGACAGGTTTTAGATGTTCACAACTATCTGAATCTATGAAAATAATTTAACCTGTCATAAAACATAAGATGCAATAACAAGTTCTCTCTTAGGCTTGGACTGGTCAGAAGACAGTGCCGATGATGACATTGTAGATGAAGAAGAAACGGAGAAGTTTGTTCCTTTTCAGAGTTCTTGGAAACCACAGAATGGGTTGGTACATTTCCTTACCATATGCCATCAACTTTGATTTGACACTACAGTATGATGTCAAAATAAAAAATGTTGTTCCCTGAACAGGTTGGAAGACGACTGTGGTTCCTCTCGTCGAACGAGGTTATTGAGGCTCTGCTCTTACCTCAGAGAAAAATACAAGCACATGTGCAGGCAGGAGAGGGCGAGTATCCGGCAAAAGAGATACCGCTATGCCTTCCGCAAAGCCTTGTTGCATGCTGCCAGTAAGAACCCAGACTGTGCGGGACAACTCATCCAGGACATTGGTGGTTCCTCTCACATCTCTCCAAGGTATTCTACTAATTATCATACACATTCGACCTTCCTCATCATTTTGAGATACAGAAAATACAGACAAATGTATTTTCTGTTAACTATTTATTAATGGAAGATACGCATCCGGTGTATTATGTGTTAGTACCACCAACTTCATTTTTAACTTTTGATGCTAATTCAAGTTCAAGTCACATTTTTATGGTTGCCATTTATTTCTCCTCAGTGTGGATTCCGAAAAGCAGACCCACTGTGACACAGTGAGTTGCAAAGGCAGCACTAAGGGCCAGGCCTGCAGCAACAGAGCTTTGCCTTTCACTCAGCACTGTTTTCAACGTATCCTTTGCACCAAATCTCTCTTTACAGCTGGTTGCCTGAAACACAACCCTGTAGTTACTATCTTACTTTAAATGGGACATGATGAATGAAATTTCAGCTGTACATGCCCGTTTTAAAATATCCTCCTGTCACACAATAGCCACATGAACGTGTTATTATCACACACTCTCTGTCAGTCAGATTGTTTTTTCCTTCATTGTTTTCTGTAGACATTCTATTAAATCGTTCCCAGCAACTGTTTGTAAGTTGCACAGCCAAATTTGCAGATGGTCAGCAGTGCTCCATCCCTGTGTTTGATATCACACACCAGACGCCCCTCTGTGAAGAGCATGCCAAAAAGATGGTGAGATCAGTCATTATGGAAAAGAACTTTGTCCAATAGTGTTCTTCATTTTGTTACTGGAAGTTTGATAAACACAATTTTATTTAGGACATGGCTGTTAGACTTCTGATATACCACTACTGCTGTAGTCTTTGTGGTCTCAATTGTGACTTCTTGCTATGGCCACTCAGTGTTCATTCATTTACTTAACACAGGATAATTTCCTACGTGGAGATGGGAACCGGCGAGTGCAGCACCAGCAGCAGCACCAACGAAAGCCACGTAAAAAGACCAAACCGCCGGCCCTTACCAAAAAACACAAGAAGAAAAGGAGAGTGCAGCGGAGGCCACAGAAACCCATCCCCCCGGCGCTGCCACAGGGGAACCTGGGAATGCCCTCGACAAGCCTAACAATGCCCTCACAGACCAGTATCAGGTGCAGCACCAACTGTTCCTTAACACTTGAAAATCAGACTCACTGATATGTGTCCATGTGTCATTGCTGTGGACACCAGTCACCAGATCCTTAATTTAAGAAAGCATCATCGGCATGTAGTGAGACAACAGATTCTTTCTAAAGATCAGCAGCAAAAAATCTCAGCGTCTCAAAATTTAAGTTTTTTTTTCCGTCTTTTTAAACGCATGCTTCTATGAAGTAAAACATTTCTTAGATTAAATTATTTAATTGATGAAGTGTCCAATGTCTGTGTATTATGTTTTTACCTTTATTTGTTTTTGTCATTGTTGCGTCCTCTTCTACAGGAGCCCTTCAACTCCAGACCTAAGTACAGATGAGCTTCCAGATGACATCACCAATGACATGGCAGACATTCCAAATGACCTGGAGCTCAACCAGGAGGATTTCTCAGATGTGTTACCCAGGCTCCCTGATGACCTGCAGGACTTTGACTTGTTTGAAGGTTCGATCACAGCCCTTTGTTCTCCCACACTGTCCTTTTCTTGTTACTTGAAATTCTAGGGGTGTGTTGGTTAGAACGAGAGAAGGAAAACAGTTTGTTGATATATTAAAAACATCTTAATTAATGAAAATAATATTAATAATAATATTATCAATTTCTTTTGTAAATTTTAATGAAATATTTGTAACAGTCTATGCTGATTGTGCTGGTACATTATCAAGATGGAAAAAAAATCATGTCACTGTCACTAAGAACTACATTATTGGATAACTACTGACTTTGATTTGTTTAGATTCATAATCCACCCATTAGGAATGGGCAAAGACAACCCTGCATGTTTGAGTCACTGTAAAATATCCATGAATAATTTTGTGACTTAATACTTTTTGGTGATATTCCCTCTTCCTGTACCATTAAAGTTCCTCCATGTTTAATGTGAAAAGGTAAACTTTCCATATATATGTGTGTGTAGGTAAAAACGGCGAGCTGTTGCCAACAACAGAAGAGGCAGAAGAGCTGGTGCGAGCGCTTCAGGCAATGGGATCTTACCCAGACTCTTTAGTCTGTCTGACGTCCATGGGAGACCTGGCCCCATCCGAAGGCGTGGACCACCGATCCATGACTGTGTTCTCTGGTCCAGTTCAGTCAGGGACCATGGGAGATCTGCTCGGCAGCCGAATCCCCACAGAAAACTTCACCAGTCTGGAGCTGGAGGACAACATACTGCAGTCCAGTGGGGGACACTTTCCTCCTTCACCTCCATCTCAGCCTACAAACCCACCCCCAGCGTCATGCTCCAGCCTGACCTCATCCTCTTCTTCGGTGGCCTCCTCCACCACCTCACTGCTCACACAGACCTCCATAGCAGAGCGAACGTTTTCACGGACACACGTGTCCCACATCATGGCTAAGTCGGACGCAACCACATCGTCCCCTCAAGGCAGCCACTACAGCAGTGAGCATGTGCCCTCCCCGTACAGTGACCACATATCTTCTCCCCACACCTCCTTCCAGTCTGATACCCCGCTGCTGCTGGAGGTCCCTCTAAGCAGCGTAGCAGGAACCCCACGTTCATCATGGACAAACCTTCCGCTCCCCCTGGCCGACCCTACACAGTTTGGCAATCTCATTGGCTCAGACAGTCATCTCATATCCACATCTCTGTCCACGCCTCCGGCCACCACCCAGTCCGTGACCCTGCAGCCTATGGCCGCCCTCTCAGCGATGCCTCAGAGCGGCCTTACAGGACTCACAACCCCCGTCTCTGCCTCTTCTTCGCTCTCGTCATCTTCCCTCGATCTTCTGACCTCCACTCAGCCCAAGCAGCAGCTCCCTCAGTTCAGCGCGGCCTTTGGCCATCAACTGGCCTCCCACAGCGGCATCCCGAAAGACGTGCAGCCCAGTCACAGCTCCACGGCGCCCCCAGCGGGCTTCTCCGTAGTCAGTGCCACTGCTGCAAGTGCCAACAGCGCCATGCCGCCCTTCACGCAGAGCAAATGAGAGATGGGCGGTCTGCAGCTGCTGAACGACAGCCTGCAGATTCACTCCACCCCAAAATCTAGTTGTCTGGCTACAGATCGAGCTCCGCTCTTTATCTGATACACATGTGCAATGTGGTTTTACTGCACTATTTGACAATGAATTTGCACACGCTTGGATTTTCCTCTTATCTTCATTCTCTTGCTCTGCAGCCAGACAACATCTGAGATTTTCGGGTCAGTGTGAGTCTTGACTGTTCAATGCCTTTCAGTTCCGTCACCCGTCTCTCACCGCGGGCAACTCCAGAGTAGAAAAGAGTCCAGCCTCTCTCAAGGAGTTGTGTCCCAGAGTCCAAACTGTGCGTGGAGGTGAGCCCGACTATATCTAGTCGGTGATTATGATGAAAGAAACGGGTGATTGTGATTTGACAGAAGGACGTTTTTTTAAGAGATTATCAGTGTCACAGTTGTCAGAATCATAGAGGCTTCAGTCAGTGGTTTGGTTTAGTTTGCTTCAGCAGTTTAAAAGCCATCTCTGGTCAGTTGTACCCTGCCTTGCTCAGATGGTCATTTCATTTTTTTTTTTCTGTCACCCACTGAAAAACAAGTACACGTTGTGATATATGTGTGACCCATTATATTTCAAGCTATTTAACTGTTAATGATGTAGAATTTTAAAGCTGAGTCAGATTTCACAGTCATACAATTTACCAAAAATACTTTTAAAACAGCTGTTTTTATATTTCTGTGTATACTATATATGTGCTCATTTATGTGTTTGCTCAGATTCATCAAATTCTCTGACCTCGCCATTGGTCGTGGGACTCAGCGTGGCCTAGTGGACACTTAAGGATTAAATATAGTCTCTTTAAAGCAATAAACTAAAGTAAGTCTAGCGTTGTCAGATATTATATTGGTCTTGTTACATGTAGCGTCACTGGATCAGGAACATTACACGTCATTTTGACTCGCATTGAAACTCATTCTACGACTTGCAGTCGGGTCGTTTTTAACCTCGTGTCTCAAATCAAATTGTATTACGAGGCCAATAAAGACTTGTCAGTGTTACAGCGTTGGTCATGACAGGGTCCTTGGGACTTTAAGTGTCTGCAGTTGAAGGTGCTCTCTGATCCACACACAATGGTCTTTGGTGTGTTGCATGTTTCATAGAAAGAGTCCAGGAAAACCCAGATATGACGTCAAGGCTGCAGTGGAAACAAGTCCATGCAGTGAATTGACACTGGAAATATCTTTACTTCTAAGTTCAGTGTGAGGTTTTGCTATAGATCAGTGGGAGGTCAAGTAGATTGGTTTAAACGCTACTCACTTCATGAGGTATGCTCTAAATAATGATCACCTAGATTTAAGTTATCGCAGTACAACCATGGCTTCTTGGTGACATACGGCACATTTTCCGGTAATAGTTAATACGTTTTGTAGAACAGTGGGGTTTGTCTCTGTAGTTTTTAATGGCTATCAAAAGTCCCAGGGATCAATAACTGTTGTTTTTTTAAATAATGTTTTGAAGGAGACTGTTTTGGTAGCCGTTAAAGGTAAAGGAAGGAGAATGAGATTTAATGAGGCAGTGACTGTTTTTCATTATCCGTATAAATGATGTAACAATTGAGTTGACAGAGAGATGCCCGGTAGGTTGGCAGAAGCAGCAGCAGCACTGGTTTTGGAAATATACCTGCAAAAATTTCAATCTAGGGAAAAATTAACTTGAATTTGCACCCTGGTTTTAAAATGTTCAGTAATCAGACATGACATCTGTGTAAATTGTGAACCTATTTAGAGGGAAATAGAAGACAATGGTGATGGCTCATGAATGGCCATGTTCTGCTATTAAACTCACTGATGTCTTCTGCAGCCTGACAGTCCTTGTGTAAAACAAGTTTCCTGCTCCTGTCATGCTTTTCTACCCTTTTCCCTCTAAATAGGATTCTAAGTATTTTATAGTTGAAATGTTCTGTTGAAGAAAATGATAAACTAGTGAGCCGATCCCCAAAATCTGGACTAAAGTGGTGGATATTCATACAAAGTTACTTTCCAACCACTGTGCAAATGTATGTATTTGTGTCTAAACCATGGGGCTTCACTTTTGCAACGGAATTCCCACATCCTTTTCGTGCATACACTTTAAGGTATTTTAACTTGTTAGCATTATATGGGCTCATGATCACTGGTTTAATTCAGGTAGCCTGAAGCATAATTTCATGACATGTACTCACATACACACCACCATGTTGCTTTACATCTAGAGTTGCACAGGAGTGTCATTAAGGCCTGTGGTTCTATCACGTGTTCCTGTGCCTTTTTATGTTCTTTCTTCTCTCTGGTCACCCATTCAAATAACAGGTCATCACCAGCTTTAAGGCTGCAGTGACCAGACCTTTTTGTTTCCAGTCCTGTCAATAAAGAAGGAGAACGCCTGCCTGTAGTGTCAACAGTGACCTGTGAAAGAACATTTTATTTGCTAGGCAATACAGTTACATCCACATCACATGAGATTAGTCGCCACACCGGTTTAATTTCCCCTACAAACCACACACCACACTGAACAACCATGTTAACAGGGCTGGTAGGCACTTGTATCTGCTTGATTTCAGAGATGGCTGACAAATTCCTATACTCATTGAATGTACTGTATTACTGTTTTTAAAAGATAGGATGAGCTAAACTAGTCACCTTTTGTTATTGGTCCTTGTTTAATTTGTCTAAGGTATTTTTTGTATACAAAGGTTTACATTTTTATGTATATTTTTCTTGTGTACAAAATATGTAATATGTGTAAAAACACTGTATGTAATATCTGTATATAGTGTGAGAAATTTGATCTTTTGTTTTTGGATGTATAAATAAACTTGCTGTGAGGTATTTGCTGACACCCTTTGACGTGGGTGTGTTTTTAATGTTTTAACGTGGGGGGGGGGGATTTAATGGAATGGAACTGAACTGTTAAGTTAAATAAATGCATCATAAGCCACATTGAATATCAGATGGTGTCCACAGGGTCCTAAAAGTGTTAAAAAAATATAAATACATACAGTCTTCCTCAGTTCTGCCCTCAATCATTTTACCTTGGCTGCACTTTTTAAAAAATGTTAGTTTATCAGGGCTTTGTCCAACTAAGATCACATGAGAACATCTAGAGTTAAAACACTATTAAATGGTTTAAAAACGTATGTGAAAAGGTTAATGCATTTTTTAACCAGGATCACAAAGTTTGTCAATGTCACATTATCACATTGAAATATATCTGGTTAACTCTCACCAAAAATGTATTAATGCTATAAACAAGAGTGTGTGTTGACTTACAGACAACAGAAGATTTTGGACGATCACACCTGGCCTCCCCTTGTGGCTGGGGTATATAGACCTAATCACCCGCTGACCTCAGTTGACAAGTCTGCAACTAATCATTGTAATTAATGATTCAGATATTGACACCAAAATGTGGTGCAAAATGACCAATGTGAATGCTGTGCTGAGATTAAAGCAGCAGTATTTAAAATAAAATGGTCTCAAGATTAAGGAAATGGACAAAATTCAGAGGCAAATATGTATAAATTAAGCCAACTTCCTGTCATGTTTACCGTTTGACCTCTGGTGAAGTCTTTAGTGCATTAACAGTCTTTGACAAAGCAGCCATTTTTTCTCTGTAGGTTGATATAAAAATCTGAAACATGGCCCTGCAATAACTTTTGTAGTCAAATTGCACCTGTTCTAGGGCAGGGGTCTCAAACTCCAGGCCAATGAACCTCCCAGATCTGGCCCACGGCAAGATGTCAATAAGTTAAATTTTCCGTTGTAGTTAGTTTTAACTAATTATTCAATATTAAAATGCTTTTGTTAAATTAATATATATATAAGTAATATTATATAGTATTTATATATACTATATAATACTATATATATAGATATATTAAATAAAAACAACTTTTTGGATTTTTCGTGTGCATTTAACATCGAATTCTGACATAGCCCTCCATTTGAATCCGAGACCCCTGCTTTAGGTAGAGGAAGGGAATATAGGGAATATAAAGTGTATGATATACTTACAGATTCCAACACGGGGGGCTGCGCTGATGATCTTTGTCCTTTAATGAAATGCAATACAATTTACATACAGCAGGGGTCATTTTTTCTCACGAAAGAACAAATTTGCTCAGCAACACACAGGACAATAAAAACAAAAACCCAGCAAATTGACACTGAGCTCAAAAGAAAACGGAGTAAAGAGAGGCAGAACTTGAGGATTTTTTCTTTTTCTTTAATCATTTGACAAATGTCCAATAAATCCAACAACACTGGTCTGAATTATCAAACCCCTGACTTGGGTCATGAACTGTCCGCAAAAGTCACACCACATGAAATGCACTCCTGACATGATTGCTATCCAGTGTTTAGTTTAAACTTTAACACATGACAAAACTAAACTGAACTCCCTCTATAATCATAATACTGCTCTTCTGGGCTATAAAAATAGTTCAATAATATTATACGTCTGCTTGTGCTAAGAAGAAGAAATTACTTCATACTCACGCCGCTTTATTGCCATACAACACGCGCAACAACACACACACCCCCTATATTCATACAGGGAGCAAACACAAAGTATTGTGGCCTTGTTAAGTACCATAAAAGGGAAAAAAATACAAAGTGCAACACATAAAAACATGTGGTTATAAAACATGTAAAAGGTGCAAACGGTGTTGAAACTTGTGTCTGTGGTAAAGTAATGCAGACATGGCACAGCTCACGTCACAAAACTGAATCAGAAGAAAGCCGAACTAAAATGTTTGAGTCTGGGTATTTTTTCATATTTTGTAAATATTTAATACTTACTTATTTTAATTGTGCTAAAGCAACATGTAAGTAATAGCTGAACGTTTGGCAAAAATATTTCACTCACACACTTTTGTTGAATCCATTCAAAGCCAAGATAACAAATTCACATAAGATGGACACTGATGTGTTAATTATTGTTGGGGGAAAAAAGGCACCACGAGGTTGCCAGTTTGATTCCAGCAGCATGGAGATGTTTCCCCTGATTTCATCAAAATGATCTCAAAGCTACTTTTCACACTTATTTTTTCAGTACCAGCCTCGACTACTGATCAGTGGATCATCTGGTGCTGAATGCTGCGTAATGTTGTGTCGTTTCAGCTGTTCTTATGTTAAGATTAAATTTGAAAACCTGTTGTTGGAGGTGTACAGCAAAACAAAACAGTGGAGATCTGTGCTTGTTTAGTCGACAGACAATTTTTAACACATGTAAGAGTGGTTCAGTCTTCACATCACATTCTCAGTTCATAAACTAAAGATGCCAAACTCTTCCTTTAACAGTTCTATTGATTCACATGTAGCAGAAATGAAAAGTTATGGACACTTAGAGATTTATCTGTAAGTGAAATGGTTGGTTCCCACATGGAACTGGGAAGTCTATTGTTTTGTCATTTTCCTATTTGTCTTTGTGGGGTTTTTTTTGCATTCTAATGACAAATGGAACAAAAAGAAAAATCAAAACCTAAATCATACAGCTAATACTAATCATCCATTCATTCAATCATTCACCTATGCATCCATCTCCAAGATTCTAAGGCTGGTTTTCAGACATCAACTCCACTCCTCACCATCATCATCATCATCATCATCACTCCACTGCTGAAGTATGCTACAACGCATACTGCTCACTGACAGACTCTACACTGTTTTCCAACCATGGTGCACATTCATTTTAACTGGAGTCAGAAGTACTGTAGTAGCAGAGGCTCTGGTCACTAAAACACCACCAGGCTTTGTATTGATCAGACAGCAGAATTCTTTACCGAGTACGAAGTCTGTCGACCACATAACAAACGTACAAATAACTTTTAAAAAACCAACAACAGTCCAACACTGAGCCAGTGAAGTGTGAAGCTGCTTTCAGACCTGGAAGAGTTTCTTCATCTGAGGCAAAACTCTAACTGAACATTTCATACCAGGACAATCACCCTCTTTGTTCTTCATACCTGGTGTGAACTGCCAACTACGTAGGAGGGATGAGCACCACTGAGGGAATATTCAGTTGATCGATGGTTTATGAAGTTGGTCAACTGCTGCAACAGTTACTGCCAAATTTAACCTCAAAACTGCTGCCCAAAGCTGGGTCTCTGACAAAGTGAGTGGGATTTTTTGCTCAAAATATTATGGCAGATGCTATACAACATGAACCACTAAATGGCTGTAGCCAATCCATACAGTGGCCGAGGGCAACAGAAAGAAACATTCACACTCATATTCACACCTACGGTCAAGTAAGAGTGAGCCTCATCCTGCTTGTTTATCCCTGGGTTCTCTGCACACTGCACTTACTCTCCTCCAAAAGCAAGTTGGACACAAGTCAATCAAACAGCCCACACCTTCCAGTGATCTGCTTCCTACAAGCTAACTGTACAAAAATACTGTGGACATATCCAACCACATCAACATAAACCATAGTCACCAGACTGGATTGAATAATCCATCCTCTAATAAAATATGTTGGTGGCAATTACTAGAGGAGTACGGAATATTCCAGGTACCCATCACTTCATCTACTGTGTGAATTTATTTATGTCAGAAACCAGTTTCACACGGTCATCACCGGCTCTAGAGTCCAATCTGTCAGACATCTGGCCGACCTTCCCATGCAGCCAATACGGTTTCTACCTGGAAAATACTGTAAAGCCTGCTGCTACTGTTATATGGCTACTTTGTTCTTATAGTAAAAGGCATTTTTAAACTTGAAGTGCAATCAAAGATGTAGGTACGCTGAGGAGAAAGTACCACTGCAGCTCCCAGGAAGACTGAGAAGAGTCTGCCCATTTAAAACCTTATAAAACACACAATGGCACCGCCGTGTTACTGGAATGAATGGACACAGCCTGGCCCGATCGATCGGTCAAACCATCGATCTATAACGTACAGCAAAAGAAAATCGAGGAATGAGGCGACGTCCGTGAAACCAAACAAAATGACCAAAGACATTTTGTTTGATCAGGACAGGAAATGTAGCGTCCAGTGTTTCGAACTGGTGTGGTTTTCATGCAGGCTCCAGCCATAGCTTGATTTACATTCTTTAACATTATTAGAGCCACAGCCATAGAGTAACACTAAGAAAACTCAATCAGATATAAAGGAATATATAATAAATGCATGTAAAACGTGTTAGTCAACTGCGGTTTTCACTGACTGTACGAGTGGAAATCAAAGAGTGAAACACAGAGGTGAACATGTACGAAGGCAAGGCAATCTCATATGTGGCCATGTAAGTCTCTCAAAATATTTACCTCAGAGCTTTTATCTACAGTTTGGCCATTTGTACACAGTGGTTTCATTACAAACACTATTTTCTTAATTAATCTGTAGAAATGTAACTATTTACAGGTTTGTACAACTACCCTGCAGAGCTCTCTCTGTCTCCCAGAAGACCCACTCCACCTAAAGCAGGATACCTGAGTTTTTAATACAATGCTTCAGAGTACTCATCACTCCACGCTGCAGGTTTCACAGAGGATCTCACACACACTCTCACATGCACACACAAACAAATCATTAATAAGGGAACTTTTCCAAAAAGGATGTTGAATGAAAAAAAGATTAAAAAAAACAACAACAATCCCTTTGGAATAAAAATATATAACTAACACTAGTCCAAAAATAAAGCC